CTTCTCTACCTAGGAAACTATCTGGATAGTAACCGTTAGTACAATGCGGTTACTGCTGTGTCAGTCTGGAAGGCACAGAGCACAGTCACAGGTTATGAGGCATTCCATGTTGGACCTCAGATCTGTCGTCCATGGACTGCAGTACTCATTTAACATTAGATAAACTTTACACTCGTTTGTCACTTTCATTTTATTAAAAACAAATAAGCATACTTTAGCGACAATTACTTTCGTTAAAAAAAATCTGAAAAGGGAAATCTTACTCTTTAAAACTAAAACCAACAAGGGTTATCACTATTGAACTTTGTACAAAAAACATGTAATAAATTAAAAGGGTGAGTTAATAAAGCGGCTCAAACAAATTTGCTTTGTAAGCCATCGTAATCGCTCGTCGAGCCGAGAGGTAAAAATAAATACACATACACGCTTTGTATTTAATATAATATCGCTTTTTAATATTAAGTAAGTTGCATACAATGTTCAGTGAAGAGGGGACGTGACGTCTGTTAACCCGTCGATCCAACACAATGTTGCGATGTTTGCTTGCATCTCTTAGGAAAGTTTATTTCTTTATGGGATTGATATGTTAATAAACGGATTGACCTGGCTTAGAAATGTGTAATCTGGTGATTTAAATACTTATTATTACTAATTATTTGCTTACTTCAATGCAACATAATTATCATAATTTTTTTTTAGGTTAAGTGTGGCCAGATTCATACGTTATTCTTAATTTGAATTCGTTTAATGGAACAAAGAATATTCACCTAGAATAAGCGTGACAAATGAGCACACAGTCTACCTGATGTTAAGTGGATGTTGTGACCATCTACATCTATTTTCAATACAGAATGGAAATATAGATGCATTTTCACCTCTAGGGACTAAAAGGAATGCCTAATTTCCATTAAGTGCGGGTTCCTGTTCTCTACACTCACCACATAAAATACACCAGCATTACGGTGCTACTTTACGCTAGTATTCTATGTTAACATGGTCCTGCCCCGGTCGAGCCGACTCGTTCGTGCTACAACCACAATATAGCTGCAGCATGGCTCTACCACGTATAAACGAGTTACATAAAATTTATGTTATACTGCTTTAAAATTGAAATAATACTAGTTTTTACGGAATTTATCGCGTGTATTTAACTTTTTAATTACCCGACGTTTCGAACGCTTTACAGCACTCATGGTCACGGGCAGGACTGAGATGTTCAACGTCCATATGTCATAGTTAACCGCGGTTACCATAGATTAAAATTTAACTTTTGTTCCGATCTATGCAGTATGAACTTATGGTATCTTGAAGTCTTGCAGTTGTATGCTTGGGTTGGGATTTAATTTTATTTATTATAGGATCCCAAGCAGATGGTAGCACCCAGCCATCTTCTCTATTGAAATTAGGATGTTTTTTGATTTCAATAGCCTCGCGAATCATCCTTGGAAGGAATCGGTGTTCTTTAGCGAGGATCTGCGGTCTATCAAATCTAATGTAGTGACGGGGGCGATCCTGTACGTGTTCACAGACTGCAGACTTCCCGAAGCATCGATTCTTCACATCAGCTATATGTTCTTTAACGCGGGTTTTTATTGATCCTTTAGTTTGTCCTATGTAGGAGAGACCACACTCACAATCAAGCTTGTATACTCCTGCATCTTGCAGAGGGACATTACACTTGACCGATGGTAAAAACTGACCAATCTTCTTCAGCGGCTTGAAGTATGTTTTGATGGAAGCGCGCTTCAAGATGTAGCCAATCTTGTCAGTGACTCCTCTAACATATGGCAGTACAGCAGGTACACGCTCGACTGTGGCCGGCTTCACTCGTTCACTGTGACGTAGGGGCGGGACTCGAAGCATGTTGTCATGCAAAACTTGCTTGACATGGTGGAGCTCTGCAGCCAGGTGTTTACTGTCACAGATCCCTCGTGCTCTCTGAAATAAAGATTTACCCACGGGAGCTAACTGTGAAGGATGGTGGTGAGAATCACCGTTTAAATATCTATCTGTATGGGTCTTTTTTCTATACACAGTATGGCTCAAGGTGTTATCAGGATTCCGAATTACTAACACATCTAGAAAAGCTAAGGAATTGTTTGCCTCTAACTCCATTGTGAACTGAATTTTAGAATTTATAGAGTTCAGATGGTCTAAAAATGCAGTTACTTTATCTAAAGGTAGAATTGTGAAAGTGTCGTCTACGTACCGCTTGTAGAACCTTGAATTTATGGGAGAACTAAGCAGGGCTTTCTCCTCAAAGTCTTCCATAAATATGTCGGCGACAATGGGAGATACAGGTGAGCCCATCGCCACACCATCTACTTGCTTGTAGAACTCCTCCTTCCACAATAGGTAGCCAGATGTAAGGCAGTGTCTGAGTAATACTGCATATTCTGCGGGCATGTTGTTTTCTTCCAGCTTTCTAGTTACAATTGAGATGCAGTCTTCAACAGGTAAGCATGTAAACAATGACTGCACATCAAAACTGACCATAGTTTCATTGTCTGCCAGATGTAGGTCTTTAATCTCGCTGACAAAATGGTAGGAATCCTTTATGTGTGCTTAGTTCTCCCATAAATCCAAGGTTCTACAAGCGTTACGTAGACGACACTTTCACAATTCTACCTTTAGATAAAGTAACTGCATTTTTAGACCATCTTAACTCTATAAATTCTAAAATTCAGTTCACAATGGAGTTAGAGGCAAACAATTCCTTAGCTTTTCTAGATGTGTTAGTAATTCGGAATCCTGATAACACCTTTGAGCCATACTGTGTATAGAAAAAAGACCCATACAGATAGATATTTAAACGGTGATTCTCACCACCATCCTTCACAGTTAGCTACCGTGGGTAAATCTTTGTTTCAGAGAGCACGAGGGATCTGTGACAGTAAACACCTGGCTGCAGAGCTCCACCATGTCAAGCAAGTTTTGCATGACAACAAGCTTCGAGTCCCGCGCCTACGTCACAGTGAACGAGTGAAGCCGGCCACAGTCGAGCGTGTACCTGCTGTACTGCCATATGTTAGAGGAGTCACTGACAAGATTGGCTACATCTTGAAGCGCGCTTCCATCAAAACATACTTCAAGCCGCTGTAGAAGATTGGTCAGTTTTTACCATCGGTCAAGTGTAATGTCCCTCTGCAAGATGCAGGAGTATACAAGCTTGATTGTGAGTGTGGTCTCTCCTACATAGGACAAACTAAAAGATCAATAAAAACCCGCGTTAAAGAACATATAGCTGATGTGAAGAATCGACGCTTCGGGAAGTCTGCAGTCTGTGAACACGTACAGGATCGCCCCCGTCACTACATTAGATTTGATAGACCGCAGATCCTCGCTAAAGAACACCGATTCCTTCCAAGGAATGATTCGCGAGGCTATTGAAATCAAAAAACATCCTAATTTCAATAGAGAAGGTGGCTGGGTGCTACCATCTGCTTGGGATCCTATAATAAATAAAATTAAATCCCAACCCAAGCATACAACTGCAAGACTTCAAGATACCATAAGTTCATACAGCATAGATCGGAACAAAAGTTAAATTTTAATCTATGGTAACCGCGGTTAACTATGACATATGGACGTTGAACATCTCAGTCCTGCCCGTGACCATGAGTGCTGTAAAGCGTTCGAAACGTTGGGTAATTAAAAAGTTAAATACACGCGATAAATTCCGTAAAAACTAGTATTATTTCAATGTGTAGTGTTCGCGTAAATATAAGAAATCATTATGCTTTAAAAATGTTAATGTTGGCTCGGAGCTTAAAGCTCCAATGTTTACGTGGACCTCATAACAAAAAAGAATGTGCTAACTGTGTTACTCGTCTAGTTTTACTTAAAGGGCGACTAATGAGATATTTGATGTAGGCGATGGCACACTTATTACTTCTTTTACAATTTTCAATTTAAACCTTTATTTTATTGTTTAAATGCAGTTCGAGTAGCTCGCCGCTCGTTGGACTTTGCTAATCTCCTCAGGGATCACACGCATGATGCGATCTAATTTAAAGTATTTAAATACACATAGGTACTTAAATATTTTACACTTAAATGCTTAAAATTTTTCTACGTATGGCTTAATTAAAGTGAATTTTTAGATAAACCAACGTTTTAATCAACAACAAAATATAGAAAACTGGTTTTGTTTCACCAATACTGTTTAACTGGCTCCGCTTTTCTTAGCTAAGGAAATATTATATAGATAGATATATAATAAATGAGCTAACCTACTAAGTGGCGCACATATATATCTTACGTACGAGTCAAGAGCGTGCCAGAGAAAGTAGTGCTGAAAATAGCTAAATATTGATTAGACAAAGATATATGCGTGAGGTAAGATCATCGAGACAACAGCAAAATATTCAGGTTGTGTACGCTATTTGCTCTGCTTTCCAACACAATTCAGATAATAACTAAAATTAACACAAATGTGTCCGTGTGTCCAATTTGCAAGCAAAGAAATGGACGGAAGAAACTCAAAGGTACATTTAATAGATATATCTGAGCTACCGCAACTAATCACAGATTTCTCATTAAGAAATCATTCACTTTGGACACATTTCTTAAATAATACAAAAGGTTACAACACCATTTTTCAAATGAATTTGAATGAAGTTAGGGAAGGTAGTTTTATGCCTTCTTTTTAAGTTCATGAACAAATTTACCACTTAAATGGAAGTCCACTTTCTTCGGAGGGAAAGAATGTACAATACTTACAAATATATTTCCTGTCTGAATAAATTCAAGTGAACGCACGCTCACTGTCTCTGAGAGATGACTACGTATTCGTACCATTTGCGGTAGTAACTTTTGGTACCATCCGGGAGGTAGGACTATATGATTATTAAAGCTTTAGTTCTTTTCTTTGTAGTGGTTCTTTTTATAGTAATAAATATTGTATTTATTTAAAAATATATAAATTATAAAAACTATAACATATTAATATTAACCAGCTTAGACAATGTATTAATTTAACTCTTGTCGAGGAATCATGATTAGTAGAACTCCCCGTCAGAGAGCTTCATCGCGTAGAGGTACAGGGCTCGGAACTCGCAGAACTGGTTGGTGCACCAGCCGCCGTGACCGTCGGTGCAGCGGCAAGAGTCGCATTCGTCCATGTACTTCTCGCCAGGGATGCACTTGAAGAATGGGTTTTTGATCACTGAAATTTAATTATTAATACTTCTACTCATTTATTTATTCATTGGAAAAACCCTCGGCTAACATAGTTATCGCACCAAGCGTGTTTCATATCGGGGTGTAGAGAACCGACGACCCTGTTACTGGAATCGAGGCATTCGAACTCAACCAAATCTAAATAATATCTTTTGACGTTTCATATTAATCATTCCGACACTCGACCGACGCTCCGGGAAGTCTGCAGTCTGTACACATGTTCAAGATCGTCCCCACCATTTCAACAGATTTGATGAACCACAAATCCTTGTAAAAGAATACCGATTCCTACCAAAGATGATAGGCGAGGCTATTGAAATTAAAAAAAAAACATCCTAATTTCAATAGAGAAGGAGGCTGGGTACCTCAGGACATAGTCAGTTCATTTTGCATAGATCGGACCATAAACAATAATAAAAAAAGCTGAAGGTACTCCGGGTTTAACAATGACATCGAGACGTCAGTCATCTCAGTCCCCCGTGACCATGGTTTTTTTTTATAGAAGAGAGCATGACGAAAACGAGCATGCGGCTCACCTGATGTTAAGTGACTACCGCCGCCCATGATCAACCGCAACACCAGGAGAATTGCAGGTGCGTTGCCGGCCCTTTAGAAAGGAGTAAGCTATAGTTGCTGGAAAGCACCCGAAACGTTGGAAATTAAAAATAAAAGTAATCAAAAGTAAAATAAACGCGATAAAATCCGTAAAAGTAGTTTTAATCAATGCTATGTACCTTACTAACCGCAGTGTTAAAATTATTAAAATTCATTGTTATGCGAATAATCGGCAAAAAATTCAAATAATCGAATGTTTAAGTAAATTTATTGATTGGGCCCAAATCAAAGGCTAGTTTTTATATGAAATGTGTATTATACACTTATAAACAGATACCACTAAATTGGTGGATAGTTTTAATCCTATTAAAACCAGTTTTCAGGGGTATCTCTTTAGTAATAAATCTGTCGAAATGTAGTAATTTCTTAGATTTGGTTGATGACAACGCATCTGAATTTTGATTCATAATCGAGGTTAAATGTAGATGTCTATGGGCCACAACATCCACTTACCATCAGATGGATAGTATGCTCGTTTGTCACCATTAATCTATAAAAAAGTGGAATAAGATATCCTGTGAACGCACCAGTACAACGTAAGCAGGGCGTGCTTCTCTCACAGAGAGCTGTGACGGTGGGCTCGCAGTACACGCACGAGGGCATCGCGCGACACGCGCCCGAGTCCTGCGCCTCACACAGCAGGCAGTTCCGGGTCTCCGGCACGAGGGTCAGCGACGTCTCCTCTTCCCAGTACTGGTGCGGAGGCTTCGGCTTTATGTATTGAGAGACCACGTAGCTGTTTAGAAATTGATTGGTTATTATCATTACAGTCTATCAAAGTCCACTAAACATAGGTCCATCCCAGAGATTGTAACATGAGAAGATCTCCATCTTTACGTGCTTAGCAGGCGGGCTGGTAAACGTAGATTATAATTATTTTGAGTTCTTATATGGAAATTCTGCTGCTCATCTCCCGTTTCAGTTCTTATCTGTCGTTTTCGCGAGGTATGAGGTAGTGGATCCACTTGCAGCACCACTACACGGGGAACTGTTTTGAATAAAATTCAATCAGTATTTTTTTATAAGATGCTCCTGTAAAATGCATCCACACAATTTCCTGAACCACAAATGAGCGAAAAAGATTCGTAATTGGCAGCGTTATGCGACCTGGTAGGAGAAGCTTTTATTCAACAGTGTTTCTGTATGATATGTATATCATCCCGAGATATATTATCACGTGGGTGTCGCAAGAGGCGTCTGATCCCTTTCAGTTTGTGTCTGAACGCCGTCCCATCGGATTATAGGAGTTGAAGAAATATGTTGCTTTTCAATATCTCGTGTCGCGCAGATGGTTAGTCCTCGTTGAGACTGATTGCCGTGGATGAAGTTCGGTCGGCAGGACATCAACATTAAATAAGTAGATAGTAGTCATTTGCTTACGCCTGTGAGCCGGGGCGAAAGAGAGGCGGTGAGCGTTCCACGTTGCCCACAGAGCTGAGGGTCCCCGCCGCTGGGCTGGGGCGGCGCGCTTCTGTAGCAATACCATTATTTATGTTTAGAATATATTGAGACGGGACATACATGAAAAATATTAAATTGAATAAAAACCAGGTGGGTTTTTATGTAGTACTCATAAAGTATTAAATTAAAGTATTACATTATAGTTTGTTTTACTACATTAATTTAATTCATGAAGCTGACTGCCTCATTGGTCAAGTAGTCGTAAACGTGTTTGATGATTATGAACTCCGAGTCGAAAAAATTCTCTTCGAAGCTTCAGAAAGCACATAAAGCTGTTAGTCCTGCGTCCAACGACTACACAGCCCGAATAGACGCCTCATGCAAGGCAAACAGTTTCTGTCAACACGTTAGACAAATACGTCTTACTTCAGAAAACGATCGCACGATCTACTTTAGTAGCGAACACTTCCCTGACCCGTAAACATCTTGCATGTGACTCGTGAATTTTCGACAAAATAAAATACAACAGACACGCAACATGATTCCCTGTTCAATAAAATAGTGCGATAATAGTAGCCAAATGTGTAATTCCAAAAAAATGGCATTACTTTTCATAGATAAGTGAATTTTAATTTCCAAATTCATTAATTAAAATTAAATCAGAGCTCAACCTATATTTGTCACAAGCAACTCGCGTTGATTTATTCGGACATCTTTGGATATTTTCGGACTATGCATACCTTTCTTTTCAATTCAGTTCATTATTGCTATACTCTTCTTTAATTACCGGCACATGTAACTAGTGCTGTACCAGTTAAACTATAAAATTGGTACAAGTAAATATTATGCATGTTATCGTGAATGTTTTACAGACTTATACTATAAGCGACAGGTGTAAGCTGATTTTTTTAGCGAATGTACGTTAATCCATATTTGAATTAATTGATTTAATAATTAAATAAAATTATTCAAAACTTCTTAAAAAAATTGATATAATTTTTAATAAATGGCACGCCGCTCTCTTTACTGCTAAGAAGCCATGTCAAGACAGATAGGAAACGGAAGTGAACTTGATAGCTTAAATAACTGTTGCTATTTTATTTTTAATAGTATTCTATTATTATTTTAATATTGTAAAGAAAGCTTGTTTTAATAAAAAATATTCTTTAAAACAAAAAATTACGGGTATTTTACTAAATACGATACCTACTTAAATAAAACTTCTTTTGTTTTTATTTTTGTTTTGTACTAATTTAAAGTAGATTATAATTCTGGTACTGATTAAGTAGACTTGGTACCAAATGTATTAGTTACAGTTCTCATCACTATTTGCATATTAGTAAGTGTCGCAACTTTGATTTTAACCAATCAGCGTGCATTTCAACCCGCCTCCCCCGTACCGCTTACCTCAGACTTTTAACGGACAGGTTTAGATGCAAAAGTACATACATTAAGCGTCTATTCGGACTGTATAGTCGTTGCCTGCGCCTGATCTCTCTCCGGCGGACTACAAGAGTGAGGCAATAGAGAGTGCACCTGTACGAGCTCGTACTCGTACTTGCGCTTACACTCGGATACAATACGAGGGCGGCACTGAAAATGTCGGGAATCAAGGAAGTGACACAACATTACTATTTAAAAATGTATTTACTGCTTTTCGAAGAATTCTCCACGAAATTTGACACATTTTTCCATACGATGGAACCAATCATTGAAGCATCCATTCCATTCGGAAGTTGGGGTCTCCAAAATGGCCGTTTTGTAGGCGTCGACAGCTTCTTCAGGTGATGAAAATCTCTGTACACGCAATTTATTCTTTATTTTAGAAAAAGTATAGAAATCATTAGGGCTTAGGTCGAGGCTGTATGGCGGATGGTCTAATAATTCTATGTTTTCTTGCTCTAAAAACTCTTTTGTTCTGTGTGCGGTGTGAGAACTCGCATTGTCGTGATGGAGGTTGATGCGGCGGTTGCAGTTCTCTTTACGGAGTTCAGAAACGACCTGTGGCAAACAAATGCTAGCATACCATTCTGCATTAACCGTTCTTTGTCCCTCAAGAGGGATAGTCGTAACATGGCCGGTTTTGGAGACAAACGTGGCCACCATTTTTTTTTGCAACACTCCGTGAATGAACAATTTTTGTTGGCTTTAACTCATTTTCGAACACCTAAACTCGTGACTGGTTTTTTTGTTTCGAGTTCGTACGCATATATCCAGGATTCGTCATCTGATACGAAGTTGTATACACCATTTGAGGATCCTGCGTGGAATCTTTCGAGAGTTCTGACGCACCAAGTAACGCGAGCCGCTTTTTGTTCTTCACAGAGCGAATGCGATATCCATCGGGAAAACAACTTTTTTTACACCTAATTGTTCATGCAACATTATTTGTATTTGACTCATGCCAATGTTTAAAGTTGCCTGAATTTCGCGGTATGTAACATGTGGATCTTCCTCAATCAGCTTACGCACAGCATCAACGTTTTCTTGGGTGACTGCAGTTTTTGGACGACCTGGACGGGGATCATCACTGAGCTTGACACGTCCACGTTGAAATTCAGCAAACCAGCGATAAATTGTGTTTTTGGATGGGGCTTCATCACCAAATGCAGAAATCATCCGGTTAACACACTGGTTTTGTGTTAAACGACTTCGAAAGTCATAATAAATCATCGCTCTTGAATTTTCTCGAGTCAACTCCATTTGCTCAATGACTAGACAAGTTTGAAAAAACCTTGAGACAAGACCGAGAATCTTTTTTTAAATAAATAAATTTTATTAGATTTTTAAAACCAAGGAGTTTTCAATTAAAAAGATTTTAATATGACTGTAACAGTGGAAATATTCCATTCCCGATACTTTTAGTGCAGCCTAGTAATCCCGTTCTGCTCAAAACGATCAATTGTATAGTTAAGCGGTATATCATAATGAAAGTATAATCATAATAATAAGTAAGTTTACCAAAGTAAATTAATGTACAGGATATGTTTGACGTAATTATTTTTTTTATATTTACGCAAACAGTACCCCCACATACTATACACATGCATGGTGACAGGAGCTGGTCCCTCCCTAGCCTAGTAATGGTTGCTGCAAATTACTCAAAACGTTGAGAGTTAAAATAAATTATGTAAATAAGTAGAATTATATAAGAGTTTTATTCAATATAATATGTTTGATTAATATTGAATTGTTTCTTTTTTTGATTTTGTATTCTAATTACTAAGCATCACAATCATCATCATTTTCTTCATCACATAGGCATGCCGTATTGATACTTTGTATAGAATAAAACTGCGGTTAGCAACAGTTTTTATTATTATTTTAAATTCATAACAATTTTAAATAATAGAACAAAAAGGAATATGCAGCTACCTGTCTACTTCTTTTATTTACCTCTATCGCTTCTTACAACACCCACGGGATGGTATGAGACATAGTTCTTGCAATGTACGGAGTCGAGCGGGCTTTACTTTAGAACTTATGTCTACAACATATTTACTTATTGGTGAAACTTGCAGAACATCAATTTTACAAGCAAAAACAATTTTAAAAACAACTAAATATTTAAAAAAATATTATATTTAATATTATTTTGTCGCCACTACATGACTTAACGGATTTTTTTATAGAGTAAAAGTGAAAAACGAACCGACAGTCCACGTGATGGTAAGTGGATAGCTCATAGACATCTACATCTATCCTCGGTTCAGACTCAAAATGCAGATGTGTTGGCACCCCTGAGTACCTACTTAGATGGAATGCGTCATTTCCAGTAAAAGGGTCTCAGGTTCTCTGCACACAACATACGAATCACAGCAGCCTTAAGCTGCTGTTTTATGTTGGTATTCTGTAAGAACGTAGTCCTTCCCCGGTCCAGCCGACCCATTCTTGCTAAAACCACAACATAGTTGTATCATGGCTCTACGACGTATAAAATCATCAAGTCATGTTAATTTAAATAATATACAAACCATCTGCATATGCTAGCACAGAAACGAGCAAGCACACTTCAACAAAAACCCCTCGATACATAATGTTGGTGCAACGCTAATCCGGGGCAAGCTTTGATTTGATTGCTCGCTACCAGCGGCGGCCGACAGGCGGCGCTAATTGATCCCCGCGCCAATTACACCGATTGGCTTAACCGATGCACCACGCCTACAGGTTGATCCAGTTTCCAAATTCACACACAGTTGTTTTATATTCAATTAGTTTACTTTAAAGACATCACTGAAATTACGAAAACTAATATTCAGTACCTGGATGACCGAGCTTTCCTCGGCATTTTTGTTTTGGAAATTGTGTGTTTTGGAAATTATATTCAGATACAAATTACATACTGAAGAAGCATGAGTAATATTTTTTGATCTTATTGACATAATAGAAAAAACCAAACTGGTTATAGGGATAAAAAATCACGAGTGCAATGAGTTTAATTTAAAATTTTCGTGTTGTGAAAAAAAAATACTAAAAAAAAGCTCGAAATAATAGATTTTCTAACAAAAGAAGGGAACTTGAAAAAAAAAGGAAAAAAGTCGTACCGAAGACAGGACGCGAATCGTGGCACCTCGATTTCGCAATCGCCGGGTATCCCACTTGAGCTATTACGATCATTTATACAGTGTCAAAATTTACCTCCTTATATTGTAGCAGTTTTTCATTACCTAAGTACACGGACAAAACGACATTTTCTAAAAATGAATCCTAGCTAGATCGATTTATTGCCTCCGAAACCCCCTGGACACTAAATTTTATGAAAATCGTTGGAGCCGTTTCCGAGATTCGTTTAAAGGTATAGGATATTCATCCGATTATAATATTTGTTGTCTTCAAGGCAAGAGTGAAAAAGCTCTTGCTAAGTCAGTACTCTTCACCATCTTTGACTGTATCACCATTTATAATTATTGAAATAGAAGTTAAGTGCTGGCTTAGAATAGTAAAAATTTGTGTTTAAAAATAAATACAAAAAAAAATATTCCTTTATATCGTTTCCTAAACTATGAGGTTACATCGTACACTACGTAGGTATACAACTTCTTTTATGCCTAGGAATCTTTCCAATTTCTGATGCCCAACATTAGTAGTATAAGTAGTACTTCCACGAGCCGTAGCTCAGGAGTAGAGAGTAGTAGGAGAGGTAGTCAGGGTAGCTCAGGGACTAAGAAGTCGCTGCAAATTTTTAAGAACGCGAACGAAAATCATGCCGGTGGGAATCGAACTTGGGTTGAGTTTGATTGCCACCCGCACCAATGAAATTGTTTACTGTTAAATGTGCTGATATACCTCGTGTTTGTCAGTGAAGGAAACCTGTATGCCTGAGGAATAAAAAAATATCCGGAAGACAGAGAACAGAGAAGAGAATATTGGAAAGTTTGCCAACACGCATTAGGGCAGCGCGGCGAACATTGACTTAGACTAAAACCCTCATAAAATTGAGAGGAGGCCTGTGACCAGCAGTGGGACGTATCTAGGCTGTAAATTTAACTTTAACTTTTGCACTGCTGTGTTCCGATTTGAATGGCAACCAGTATGTTAACAGGCTGAGAGGCATTTCATCTTAGTCTTTAGAGATGATAGTGCATCTGTTACCTTCATCGTTTGAAGTTTGCCTTCAAACGATGAAGGTAACAGATTATTGTAGCTACTTACCATCAGGTTGACTGTAAGTTCATTTGTCACTTTTTTTTAACAGGATAAGGCTGACAAACGAGCACACAGTCCACCTGATGGTAAGTGGATGTTATGGCCCACAGACATCTACATTTATCCTCGATTAAGAATCAAAATGCAGATGCTTTGTTACCCCTGAGGGCTAGGATGGAATATCTCGTATACAGTAAAAAGAGTCTCCAGTCCTGTAAACTCTTCATACGAAACACAGCAGCGTTAAGCTCCCATTTTACGCTGGTATTCTGTGAGAGAGTGGTCCTTCCCCGGTTGAGCCAACCAATTCGAACTACAACCATAATAAATATAGCTGCAGCGTGACTCTACCACATTACAAAGTTAGTCAGTTTTATAGAAAGATAAAAATTCTTGGTTCTCTAAAGATTTAAAAAAAAGTTCTTGTTACATATAAACTTTTAACAAAGTACCTACATACTGATTTCTTGCATTTACGCGAATACGAAACATGGAATAAAGCTAATTTTAAGGATTTTATCACGATTAAATTTAACTTTTTTATATCCTGAAGTTTAAAGCATTAAAAAGTTTAAATTAAACGCGATAAAATCCACAAAATTACATTTATTCCATTTTAACACAGCATTTTAGAACACGCTGTATGTAGCTCTCACCGGCGCCAATTAACAACATGCATGCAACAGGGTATCGGACTCGTTAGCGCCGATTGCCGATTAACTGCGTACGATACCGTTTTATAAAGAATTAGATTTAAAAAGTCAAACCAAGCTGATAAAATTACTCTTTGTCTTAGCTAAAGGGTCTTTTAAGAATAACCATGACAGCTGCTTCAATTTTTTTTTATATAATAAGGCAGCTCACCTGATGGTAAGTGAATTCTGTGGCCCCTAGACATCAGTATCTGTCCTCAGTAAAGAATCAAAATGCAGATGCGTTGTCAACCGACTCTAAGGAGTAAGATGGTATAGGTACCTTGTTTCCGGTGAAAAAGATTTTTGATTCTATGTGCTCACTATACAAACCATAATATCTTTTCTGTACTGAAATTTATTTTTACGCTAGTATTCTGTGAGAGAGTGGACCGACCCCGGTCGAGTCGACCCATTCTTGCTACAACCATAACTTAGTTGCAGTATGGCTCTACCACGTAAAAAAGAGTTTCACACGTGTTTGAAATATTTTTTTTATTTTTCAGATATACAGGTTGCCGCTCCGTGTTTTTCTTAATAGACGAGCGCCTGGAAAACCAGTGCTATCAATTTACAATTTCATTGAGGCCGTCGGGAATCGAACTCGGGGTAGCTCGCGTACTGTGAAATTACATCCAGCGCTTTGGCATTAATCGTTGTTTATGTACATTATTATTCTGCATCTTCGGTATAATAATAATAATAATAATAAATTCGACTCGGTGCCCCATACATGGCTAAAGAGAGTCCTCGAGCTGTACAAGATAGACTGTACAGTTAGAGACTTCCTCGAGCAGTGTATGGGGCAGTGGAGTACGATACCTTGTCATCTGGGCGAGCGGATGATGGCTGCGGAGAACCACATAAGGATAAGAAGGGGTATCTTCCAGGGCGATTGTCTGAGTCCAATCTGGTTCTGCCTCTCTCTGAACCCTCTCAGTACCTTACTGGAGGGCTCCGGGAGGGGATTTCAGCTACGGAAAGGAGGGACAAAAGTGACCCACCTTTTCTATATGGATGACCTCAAGTTATTCGCCTCCAGTCGCTCCCATCTTATGGAATTGCTAAACATCACTTGTGAATTTAGCAATTCCATTGGAATGGAGCTTGGGACGGATAAGTGTGCGGTCCTCCATGTTGAAGGGGGAAGGGTTGCTAACTCTGAGGGCGTAGACTTATCTATGCCCGTCAACTTAAGGACCCTTTCCGAGGCTGAAACATACCGATACCTGGGTATGTCACAAAACATCGGTATCGATGAGACTGGTATGAAACAGTCAGTTTGCGACGTGTTTTATGCACGCTTGACCAAAGTGCTTAACAGCCTTTTGTCCGGTGTGAATAAGGCACACGCATATAACGGCTGGGTCATGCCTGTCCTCATGTATACCTTTGGCATACTCAGGTGGACTCAGAACTTAACGCCCTGGATAGAAAAGTCCGCACTACCATGACGTCCCATAGGATGCATCATCCGAGATCGTCGGTAATGAGGCTGTACTTGTCGCGGAAGCATGATGGTTGTGGCTTCTTGAGCGCACTCACCATGCATAATCGCGAAGTGTGCAGCCTCCGTGATTACTTCCTGGCGAGATCGGAGATTCTATAAGGACGTCATTTCTTGTGATAAAGGACTTACCCCTCTATCCTTAGCCAACGAGCAATGGCAAGACCCGGCAGTGCAGAGCATTTCCGACCGGGAGACCGTATGGAAGGAGAAAGAGCTCCACGGGAGGTTCTACAAGGCTCTACATGAGCCTTTCGTAGACACAGTAGCCTCCCTCCACTGGCTACGCTTTGGTGATCTCTTCGGGGAAACCGAGGGTTTTGTCTGTGCAATACAGGATCAGGTTATTAAGACCAACAAATATCGGAGATACATCCTAAAGGATGGCACCGTAGACATCTGTCGAGCTTGTCGCCATCCCGGTGAGTCACTTAGGCATGTTATCTCCGGTTGTTCGGCGCTTTCTAACTCTGAGTACTTGCACAGGCACAACCTAGTAGCCAGAACTCTACACCAGGAGCTCGCTCTGAAATACGGTCTCGTGGATCGGACATTGCCGTATTACAAGTACTTGCCGGAAGCCGTGCTCGAAAATGATCGCGCCAGGCTCTATTGGGACTGGGCCATCATCACAGACAGGACTATTCTTGCGAATAAGCCTGATATTGTGCTGATGGACCGGGCACAGTCAAGGATATTTTTGGTCGATATTACCATTCCGTATGACGAGAACCTCGTGAAAGCCGAAACAGACAAGCAAACAAAATATCTGGACCTGGCTCACGAGGTGACCGACATGTGGGGTGGTCTGCCGACCGAAATTATTCCTGTAGTCGTCTCTGCAAACGGGCTAATCCCAGTCAGCCTATCGGGTCATTGAGGCGGCTGGGACTACGTGGCGGACCGCTCCAGGTTCAAATGCAGAAGGCGGTGCTCCTCGATACCGCCCGCATCGTCCGCCGGTTTCTTTCCCTTTCCCCCTAACCCTCGGCCGTTTAGTCTCCCCTGCCGAGGGCCTCCATCTGGTTGGGCTTTTATTTATTTATGTACTTTTATATTTATTTTATGTTATTGATATTTATGTATATTTATCTTTTCATTTTCATTTATAATTATATATTTATAGAACCCAACCAGATGAGAAAAATATATAGATACCC